GAGTGTAGGGTACTTACAAAAAGAAAGAAAGAAAAAAAAAAAAAAGAAAGAAAAAAAAAGAGGAAAAGGAAAAGAAAACGAAACGAAAGAAAGAAAAGATCTTGAAACGTCTGACCTGTCTATACACTGTACGTGTGACATAGAAAATGAGAAAAGGAAAAATAAAATTACAAAAAAAAAAAAATAATAAAAAGAAGAAAAAAAGAGAGAGAGAGAGAGAGAGAGAGAGAGAGAAAGAAAGAATGAAGAACATAGACAAAGTGTCGTAAAATAAATATCATCCTTTTATCTGTTTAGGGAGGATAAAAGGTTCTTAATACGAGTCAAAAGAGATACCCTCTGGCTTTTGATTTCACAAAAATCCAAAAGAAGAAAAAAAAAAAACAAACACACACACAAAACAAAGAATAAGATTGATCCTCGGAAAAGATTCTCGTAATAGGAATAATCGATTTTCCAAAAATGATCCTACGAATTTTCGGTTGGATCCTGTATATTCCTCCTTTTTTTTTTTTTATATGTCCTACACATATTCAAACAATTAAGATAACTTATCGACGACGATAATAATCGAAGCGTCGATGGATAAATATTAAAACAACAGAAAGAAGTAAAAGAGAAAAGAATAAATAAAAAGAAGAGATAATAAATAGAAGGAAAGAGATAAGAGATATTTATTTTGAAAAGAAACGAGATAACTAAAATAGATAGATAGATTAGATAGATAGATAGATAGATGGATGAATAGATAGATAGACAGATAGATTGATTGATATATAGAGAAGAATGTATCTCGTAATGGTGTCAGTGCGTGTGCGCATGCGCAGTAAATGCACTCGAGCTTGCAAGCACAAGGGAATCGTCGTTCGCAAGAGCTTGGGAGCTTGCGATGCCCGACGAACTAGGTCAACGTGAACACCGTCGGTTCTTAACGCGTGCGCGCACACACATACACACGTATACATATATACGTATGTATGTATTTGTGTGTCTGTGTATGTATACGTATAAGCTCCTAGTGGGACAAGTATACTACACGTTATATTACGTATGTATAGAGGAAGAGGTAAGAGAGACGACGTAGAAGGTCTTTCTTTTGTCCTCTTGCCTATCTCATCTCCGAATATTTTCCTTCTCATCGGTATTGGAATCTGTGGTATTCGAAACTCGGTCTCATGCTCGAGGTACCTTCGTTTTTTTCTTTTCTTTATTTTTTGTTCTCTCCCTCTCTCTCTCTCTCTCTCTCTCTCTTTTTCTTTTTAAAATTAATCTTCGAAGTACGATTTATTCGAAGGTCTACTTGAAATCAATCTAAATTACGAACGGTACACAAGAGCCTAAAGATAAATCAATCCTTTTGATAATTATTATATAAATTAAGTCACAGTATGTATGTATACGCGTATTTCATAATAATTTCATTATAATTTATTATTGCGTCTTATGTTCGTTCACGCGCATATAAATAATGTATTCGTCTATGTACGTAGGTACTCAAGCTCATTATAATAATTTTTTTCATGAAAGTTCGATTAATACGTACAAATTTCTTTTTACCATTTCTTTCTTCTCTTTTCTTTATTATATTTTTCTTTTCTTTACTGATTGTAAAAAAAAAAAAAAAAGAAAAAGAAAAAAAAAAAGAAAAAAAAAAGAATAATAAAAAAAGAAAACGTTACATAAGTTTACTCACGGAATAATGTGAAATTTGTATTAATTCCGTAATTTATTAATCGGAACGAGAAAAAAAGAAACGAAGCAATTTAGTTTCGGGTGAAAATATTGGCGAGATATTCGTATAGGGACAAATACGATAAGAGCCATTCGAGAAGTAAAAATAAATGCTTACGGTGGTCTACGGACTCGTGTATAGCTTGTGGAAATGTTGACGATTAATGAGGCTGCGTTCGAGAAAGATAGAGAGAAATATATATATATATAAAGAGAGAGAGAGAGAGAGAGAAAGAGAGAGAGAGAGGACCAAAGTGAAAGTGCGCAAACCATCTCGAATTCGAGTTCTTTCGGGCCGGCCCGATCTCGTCGTCGAGGAGCCTCCGAAAAAGGCGAATCGTCGTTGCTTTGGTCGCCTGATTCGCAGAAAACTGAGCTTGGAGAACGGGTCATGAGAATGTACATAATGCGTATGTACAGTAAAAAGGAATAGCTATCTATGTATGTATGTATGTATTTATGTATTTATGTGAGTTATGATTTCAATAAACAAAAAAACATATTTTTGTTTTTATTTCAATCGAACAATATCGGATATATTGTTATATCATACATATGAAATAAATATATTTATGGAACTTTCGAAATATACATATCATTCATAATGTCATATTTTAAAAAAAGGAAAGAAAAAAGAAAAAAGAAAAAGAAGAAGAAAAAGAAAAAAAAAAGAAATGAGAAATAAATGATATCATTATTCTGTACTATTGTACTTATCACTGTCGTATTACGAAAATAATAAAGATGTTATTTCTAAACGATAAAACGTGTATAAAATTTATGTCATTACAATATTAATAAAAGAAATGGTATCACTATTATGATATAATATTATTTACTTTATAACCCTTATATTTCGATACGAATATAAAATATCTAGACGATAATAAATTTATCAAAATATACATATTTAAAATATTACGGATAGAGATATTCAAGGGAGGCGGTAAAGGGATAAAAAAAGAAAGAAAGAATTATGATATAAAAATAATAATAACAATAATAATAATAAAAGAATAAAAGAAATAATGAAATAAAAAAAAATAAAAAAATAAAAAAATAAAAAAATAAAAAAAAAGATGGTACCCCTTATTCTGTAGTCTATTATTGCTTTTTTACTTTAGAAAAGAGTCAGTGGGATATCGATTCCTCGAGGGTACTCGTCGAGAGCCGCTTCCGAAACGGTATCAAAAGCCATCGTTGGAGCTGCACTCCTCGAAGCCGAGTACCTACCGCTCGATACCGATTCGTTTCGCACGATGCTTCTATAGAAATCGTAGATGCGATCAATAATGAACGTTCGATTGTAGGGCGCGTTCGAGAAGTGGGTCGTAAACGACCTACAGTCGCTCTCTCGTGTGTTCATTTCTCTCTTATTTATATTTAATATTATAAAGTCTTATGTGTGCGCACGATCGGTGATACTTTATTTATATTTTACGTGAATGCATAAGAAAAAAAGAAAGAAAGAAAGAAAAGTAAAATCAGTTCATTCGTTCGATAAATGAGACTACGAAATGATACAAATTTTTTTCCATTCCAATTCATTGATAAATTGTCTTTTAACAAATTCTTTTTTTTTTTTCTTTTTTTTGCTTCATTCAATTTTTTATTTCTTTGTTTTTTCTTTCTTTTTTTTTCTCCCCCAACCTCCCCCCAACGAAATTGAAAATTGGAAAATAATTAAGATCGTTCCATGCGAAATCATTAAGAAATTGTTTGCCTTCAAAGAAATACCAATTGCAAATTAATAATATAATTTAAATCTGTCCATTTAGATTGTTCGAAAAATCGTCTGAAAAAATTATTCGCCTTTACGATTAATTGCAAATTAAATAAAAAAAAAAAAAAAAAAAAAAAAATAATAATAATAATAATAATAATTATAATAATAATTAGAAAATATTCATTCCGTGTCATCATCATAATTGTCCTGGAAATGTTTATATTTTTACCGTGAAATTGTAAATTCAAAAGAAAACAAAAGAAAAGAAAAGAAAAGAAGAAAAAAAGAAAAGAAAAAGAAAAAGAAAGAACAGAAAAAGAAAGAAATTATCCCAGAAATTTGTCTTTTCGCAACGTAATAAAATTCGCAGCGTAATGAAAAAAAAAGAAAAAAAAAAAGAAAAAAAAAAAAAAAAAAAAAAGAAAAAAGTGTGAATTCGTCGGTAGAAAAAAAGAAAGAGAAAAGAGAAGAAACAAAAAAAGAAAAAAAAAAATAATAGAAAAAAAAATAACAAGTCACGACACCTAATGATTCTTTTTTCTTTTACGTGTGCTATCCTATGACTTTCTCTTTTTTTTCTCTCTTTCTTTCTTTTTCTTTTTCTTTTTCTTTTTTTTTCTTTCTTTTTTATGTGTGATCTAGCAACATTTCCTACTCGTTTCAACCCGTTCGAGTGCTCTTACTCCTCGTAGCGTTCGCACAGCCGCCTGCTACTGACCCACTTCCATCTCTGGGAATAACCAGCTCGCACACCTCGAGTCCACCCACATACGGAATCTCCCGCGCGCTCTCTCACCCACAAACTTCGTTGATGCGCCACAACGAGCTCGTTGGTAAATGGGTGGGGGCGTGCGCGCGCGCGCTCGCGCACTCCTTCCTAATCAGTCCTTATTGCACGATCAAAGAGCTAACCGAGACGACTTTTCGATGACAAGTTCTTTTTCTTCTTCTTCTTCTTCTTCTTCTTCTTCTACTTCATCATTCTTTTTTTTTCTTCATTTTTTTTCAACCCTATTTACTCGATCGCGTGATTTCGAAACGAACGTCATTTAATCGCCTCGATGAGAGAACGACGATTATCATTGATTAAATATCCTTTAGAAATCAATTTTATTTCTTTCCTTTTCTTTTCTTTTTTTTCTTTTCTTTTTTTCTTTTCTTCGTCCTTCTTTTTATTTCACGCTTATAAGAAAATTATATAATTGTAATACTCGTGATATTATTTTATAACAGTACGATTTATATTTCATTAGCCTTATCGAGTATTGAAATTGTATCATTTAATAAAAGGGACACATTTGAGAACATCGTTTTACGTATTATTTAACGTTTAATTAAATTTGTATGGATAAAAAGAAAAAGAAAAAGAAAAAAAAAAGGACAAAAACGACAAAGTGGCACTGGAGGGTACAAGGGGAGGATAGGACAGAAATGAATTGAAGAGGATGTGAAATTTTTCGATTATACGCCATTGTATACGGTTAAATAAGTTCGAGAGGAAATACATTGAATTTTTTTTCGATATTAATATGATGACATTTACCTGAACGATCGGAGGAAAACGTGCTAGTTGATCGTCGACGCCTTTCAAAAACACAGAAACTTTTACGAAACACTGAAATACGTGGAACGATCGGACATTCGCGTCTCGATGCTGTATTCTTCGTTCGAAGCAAATATGTAACATCCACGTACGATGCACTATAACATAAAGAAACAAAATAAAAAATTATTGGTATTGATTTTTTACGACTAAAACAAAACAAAAATATATATATATATAATATATATTTTTATATTATAATTATGAATATAATACAATATACGATATATAATTTATATATAATATATATATATATATTTTTTTTTCCTTTCATTAAATTAATAGTAAAAGAAAGGAAGAAAGAAAAAAAAAGGAACAAATTAACAAAAATTAACAAAAATTAACAAAAATTAATATAATTAATAAATTGGACGAATTCTTTCGGCTTCTAATACCTATTGTTTGAAATATTTACACGTAAATCGAAGATACGAACGATGAAAGAGAAAATTCTGAAGTGGACGCCTTAGATGAACGAAGAGAGTGTACGGAGGGAGGGAGGAAGGGAGGGAGGGAGGGAGGGAGGGAGGCAGAGAATGGGGTAAAAGAGGGGGAGGGGAAACGGGAGGTGGAAAATAAAAGTAAAAGAAAAAGGAAAAGAAAAAAAAGAGAGAGAAGATGGATTCCGTTAAAAGCCGGACGGGCCAAGGCGAGACTAACAACGTGGACCGTCTAATCGGGCTGTCTTTCGAAAGAAGAAACGAAACGAAGAGGCGAGAGACGAGAGACGAGAGACAAGGCAAGGCGAGACAAGACGAGGAGTGTAGAAGAGAGGAGAGGAGAGGAGAGGAGAGGAGAGGAGAGGAGAGGAGAGGAGAGAGGAAGGGAGGAGAAGGAGGAGGGGAGGGGGAGGAGGAGGAGGAGGAGGAGGAGGAGGAGGAGGAGGAGGAGGAGGAGGAAGAAGAAGAAGGCGTAGGCTATGCGCGTGTGGATGTCGTTTACCTCTCGGAGTTATTTGGCCCCATCGTGGCATGAACGTTCGAGCACGAATGAGAGAAGAGACACACGAATAAGCAGAAGAGTTGTAGAGTGCCAAGCGAATGAGAAAAAGAGATAGAGGGAGAGAGAGAGGGTGAATATGTGTCTCTCTCTGTGTGTGTGTGTGTGTGTGTATGTGTGTGTATATATGTGTGTGTATATATGTGTGTGTGTATATATGTGTGTGTGTGCGTGTGTGTGTACGAGTATACGTGTATGTATGTGTGTGTGTACGAGTATACGTGTGTATGCATCTGCAAGTATACGCTTGTTTATGCGTGTATACGGATACATTGAAAAATTCGACGAAATTTCGTTCGATGATTTTAAACATTGATTTTCGTTCGAAATCATTTAAACAATTAATTACCTTAGTCAGTTCGATTTTTGATATTGATATTACATGTAGGTCCTATTCTAAGTCCTCACGGCGAAAGAACTAATGTGAAAGTGAAAGAAAGAGAAAGGACAACCCGTCCTTTTTATTCGGAAAGGACACGTCTCCGGGACGTGTTCGGCCTGTATAAATCGCGTGAGAGTCTCTTTCCCCCACCAACAAAAAATACTCTCTCAAGATCCAAACGAATTTTTCGACAACACGGGATGAGTTCAATCGTTCGATTTCTCTCTCTCTCTCTCTCTCTCTCTCTCTCTCTCTCTCTGTTTGTTTGTTTCCGTCTATGTATCTCTATCTCTTTCTACAGAATTCGTAGATAAGAATTAATTATCTATATTTCAGATAGTATAGATGATTTCATCATCACGGACGCGCGTGTAAAGGGCAATTCAAAAATTCATATTTGTCGAATTCGTTGTCGTTTCGTTCGATGGCAAAGTAATTTCAACGATAAGAATCACAAAATTCTTTCCTTTCCTTTTTTCTATTTTTTTTTTTTTTTTTTTTTTTTTTATTTCGTTTCGTTTTGTTTCTTTCTTGTCTACCCCATACGCGTACGCGTATACTATCGATTCCCTTTGAGAAAACGACGAGTCACAGACAATTATTCTTTTTCTTTTATTTTGCATTTTCTTTTTCTTCATCTTTTTTCTTTTTTTTTTTTTTTTTTTTTTCTTTTCGTATCGTAACCAACTCGTACGAAAGAACGTAATGGAGGAGAGAGGAAGAGAAAGAGAAGCATGAAAAGGAAAAGATGGAGGAGAAGTAGGAGGAGTAAGAGGAGGAAGAGGAACGATGTAAGAGATTCATATCAAACGAAACATTGATTCGTTCGTTCCTTCCACGGACGTTTCGTTCGTTCTGTTCTAGAGTTGCGTTACTCGAACATAACTAGTGCTAGTGAGTTGGCATAGTTCAACGAGGAACCGGCGATAACAAATGGTAGCGATAATAGCCGGCTCTCCGTGAGAGACCGGATACGGCTCGTCTCATGAAATTATCCATGGTAGACGAACTCTCTCGACGAGAGGAACCTATCCATAGAGAATGGAACCATAGATAAGTACCAGGAACATTAATATCCTTTCTTTTTTCTTTCTTTTCTTTTCTCTTTTTTTTTTTCATTCTTCTTTCCTTTCTTTCTTTCTTTCTTTTATTGTTGTCGATAAAAAAGAAAAAAAAAAAAAAAAAAAAAAAAAAGAAAAAAGAAGAGGAAAAAAATAACGAAAAAAGAAAAACGCATAAATCTACGACAAATAAAAAAAAAAGAAAAGAAAAATAATAATAATAACAATAATAATCGTTCAAGTTTCAATTAATTAAAGAAGACAAATATAAAATGCTGGACATGTTGTATCGAAGAAAATTATAATATATATATATATATATATATATATATATATATATATATATATATATATATATATATATCAAAGTTTGATCGAATTATAAAAAAATTCAAAATTATCGAACGATAAAAGAAAGAGTATGTGAGCCAATAGGCAGTTATAATCTAATTACAGATTATGTCGCGTTTAAAAGTCATTTACCCTGTGCGCGATTCAAACGGGTTTCGCAAGGGGGACCGCGAACGGTGTCGATGATAAAGCGAACGTTACTACTATGGAAAAGTTAGTGAGCGAACACTCGCGAACGATAAGCGGCTAGAATCGCAAGGTGGTATTTAACTCGTTCGCATCCATAAGCGCACCAGCAGCACGCCGTTATGACCATGGCCTTAATCGCGGAGCCATATATACAACGACTCTTAAAGAGAGAGAAAGAGAGAGAAAGAGAAAGAAAGAGAGAGAGAGAGAGAGAGAGAGAGAGAGAGAAAAGAAAAAGACATATGCATACGATCGTTCCCTACCACCTTTATATACTGCCTTCCTTCCCCTCTTCCTCCTCCTCCAACTCTTCCTTTTACCCACCCATCACCTCACCCTTCTTGATCCGAGTAAAGCGACGATTCGAATTTGCATTCTAGAGTAGATTCTAAAGGATTGTAAATTCGTAATGATTCTCGTATGCATTTCTTTTTTAATGACTGAATTTTTCAATAATTATTATACTGCAATGAGTATAATAATAATAATAATAATAATAATAATAATAATTCATGCGCTAGTACACACGCGCACCATGGATTTTTTTTTCAAATCTCATAAGTAAAACCCAAGGATCTTTTGTGTAGAACGATTAATATTTTAAATAAATGATTTCCTTTTTTGCGTTCGTTCACTTCTGTTATCCTAAGTGTTCAATTTGTTTATCACATATGTTCAATCATTTTTATTAATTTTTAAATTTATCAAAAATGAACAATAGCTCCCAAGTAACATCGATATTCGAGCCTGATTACTTTTAATGTCCATTGTTTTAAAACATTAAGATACGAAACGAACAAGTGTTCTTTTTTAAAGCTTCTTATTAATCCATTCCTGACTACATTGCATTGTATTTGTAAATTTTATCCTTCTTAAATATACGTTCGTATATATGTATATGAGGTTCATTTGAAAAGTTCACGAACTTTGTTCCTTATTTTTTTTTTCTTTTCCTTTTTTTCCTTTTTTTTTTTTTTTTTTTCAATGCATAAATTTCATTCTTAAAATAAAACACATTTTAACGTATGAAAAGAGAAAAGGAAAGAAAGTCTCGAACTTTTCAAATGATCCTAATAAATATTTCTCTCGCATAATTGTAATGCCATTTTATAGTTTTGGAGTTAGAAAAAAAATAAATGAAAATTAATCGCCTCTATTTATTCGTTCAATTCTTTTATCAATCAATGATAAGTATTTTGTAGAAAAAATGTATGTATATATATATATATATGAATATTTCGATCAATGTAGATAATTAAGTGTTAAAGTTGCCTCAAGTTTGCGTCAGGGTTGCATCAGGATTGCGTCAGGATTACGTCATTTATACATTTTAAATACCGATATTTTAATATAAATATTAATTATATTCATTTAAAATACTTATCGAATGTTGAAAGCTATTGATTCACAACAAATGTCTGCCAAAATTGTCTGGTTGATCATTAAAAAGATGGATCAAAAGAAAAAAAAAAAGAAAAAAAAAAAGAAAAAAAAAAAGAAAAAAAAACGGATTCACCAATCGTAAGTACATATAAGAGAGAAGTAATATTGATTGCATCGATCGCAGTTAAAAAAAAAAAAAAAAAGAAAGAAAGAAAGAAGAGAGAATAAAAGAGAAAGCGAAGGATAAAAAAAAATTAAGTAAGTAAGTAAGAAAGGAAAATAGAAAGAAAGAAAGAAGGTAAGGAAGGAAGAAAGAAAGAAAGAAAAACGCGAGTCTCTCGAAAATACGATCGTTTTCCTCGAATGAGATAGGAATAAAATCTCGAACGCGCGCGGAGGAGTTTTCATGGCAGGCGCGTGCGGCCGAGAGTGCGAAATACGCGCTTGACCTTAGAGCCAGTCATCGCACCGCGAGGTCGACGGATAAATCGCCGGAGTGGAAAACAAGAAACCGACGCGCGGCGCGCCGGCGCTCTTTCTCTCTCTCTCTTTCTCTTTCTCTCTCTCTCTCTCTCTCTTTCTCTCTCTCTCTCTCTCTCTTTTTTCTGTCTGTCTGTCTATCTGTCTCTCTTTCTCTCTCACTTCTCCTTCTTCGACGCGTCGAATCGCATCCAACCGAATGAACGAACGAACGAACGAACGAACGGAAGGAGCCTTATCTACTCTCACGATG